ACAAAATTATTGACCACCCAGAAAAACGCGATACCTATGGTTTAAAATGAATTTTTTAAAACGAAAAATATTTCTTGAAACTTTTATTTTAGTTTTAAAGCTAATAGATTAAATTTAATATTTCCAATAAGCAAAATACTTTGCTGTATATCAAAAACTAATTTAAATTGACTGGAAGTACTCAATAAACATTCAGGAATGTATTCTCCGCAATCTAATGTTCTATTGAATTTTAGATACTTTGGCTTTAAATTTACCATAGTTATCCCTCTTATTTTCGGATGATGTCGCGTATGCTTTTCCGTACTTACAAAAATCGGCACGTTTATGCATACAAAACAATTCAAAATTCTTTTAAAAATATTGGTGCTTGAAGCTTTACATTAACCTTTTCCATTTATGATTAGTAAATATAGTTTTCACATAATAATAATATCATTTAAAATGTTGAGATTAATACAGAATTTGAAAAGATTTAAAACTTAATAATTTTTTTTTATAATTAATTAAAAAAAGGAACAAATTGTAAAAATTCATTATTTTTCAAAAATGTTTTCAAAATTGTAAAAATTCATTATTTTTCAAAAATGTTTTTTTCTTAAGACAATAGTGTCCTTAATATATCTTATTTATAAAAGCAAATAAAAGCTTTTCGAATTAAAGAATATCATAGTTTTATCGCATTTTTTATTTTACGATTCAGAACAGATTTTCGGTAAATGTTTCTGTTTGATAAAAACAAATTGATAATTTAAATTCTCAAAGGAATTCTGCTTTTTACTAATATAGAAATGAATTTTAATTTCTCGAAATTTCATAAAATTATGCAAATGGGGGTAACAGATGTAAAAAAAAAAGTACCAAGATTACCAAAAAAATTTCTAAAATAATTTCATTCATTTGCGAATCAGTCCTGTAATTTTCTTTAAAATCTGACGATCATTTGATTTTTGTGAGAATTTCCAAAACAATATGTTTTTAATACCAAAAAGGACACTAAAATTTCCAATATTGATCTTTAATTCACTTACTGACGCAAGAAAAACAAGATTAACTAAAATTTTGAATGTCCTAAAAAGGATTAAAAAATGTAATAAAATAATAAAATAGTTTTGCCGTTCCTCTTCATGACACAAACAATAAAATAACAATAAAACTTTGTTTTTTATCAAGTCTGGTACCTTTTTTTAATCATGGTAAGGTCTTTTTTAGAACATTTTAAGAGGTACTTAAACAAAATCGATACTTTCTTTTTAATTGCTTGTTATGAACTCACTAATGCCCTCTGTAAAATCTGATATTTATTAAAGTTAAGATAAAAATCCGCTATAAATTATAGGTTTCTAAAAAACATTATATATATATATATATATATATATATATATATATATATATATAGTTACAAAAATTGGTATTAATTATAATTTCATAAAAAATTGGTGTAATAGCCCAACTCAGAGGGTGTCCTGGGTAAGGAGATAAACTACATCCGCGTATCCTGGGTAAGACGATAAACCATATCCAACAGCAAGGCCTCTGATCAAGTTTAATTGCTGGTGTTTCCAGGTCCACCCTGACCCGGAGTGGTAGCACCTGTTACGGTCCCAACTATTGGTAAATAGTTAACCTCTAAACTGCGGTCAAAACACTAAGAAAGTGTAAAAATAGGTTTCAACACCAGAAATACTTTGTAAAAAAATATTACCAGCAATATATTATTACCAGAAATACATTTTTGAAAAAATAATTATTACCAGCAATAAAAATCTTGTAGGCATTAAATAACCCATTGTGGTTGACATGCGGTAAAACAAAACAAACCAAACCAAATCAAGTTAGTAATTTAAAAAAAAAAAAATTTTATTATACATTTTTGAAAAAAAATATTACTCGCTATACATTTCGGAAAACAAATTACCAGCTATACATTTTTGAAAAAAAATATTACCCGCTATACATTTCGAAAAACAAATTACCAGCTATACATTTTTGAAAAAAAATATTACTCGCTATACATTTCGGAAAAAAATATTTTTTGAAAAAAAAATATTACCCGCTATACAGAAAAACAAATTACATACATTTTTGAAAAAAAAAAATATTTTCGGAAAACCAGCTATAATTTTTTGAAAAAAATTTTCCGGCATTTTAAAAATATTTTACCAACAATACAATAAAATTTCGTTAACCCAATGTCGTTGATATGCCGTAAAACAAACCAAATCAAACCAACTCAGAGATTTAAATCAAGCGCTATACGTGAGACAGATTTGGGCGATCATGTCTTTCTCAGTTCATGACTGGCAAGGCAGAAGATGTTCCCACAGTAGGCTGTCTTTTCTTTCTATGATAGACTGTTTGTCAACAAAGGCTCTAGTACTGCTATTATAACCCATAACTAGTGGAAAAAGACATTAATTCATGCCTTTCCCTTTGCACATAAGTGAATGTAATGAACCCAACTGGAATTCGAACTCGGTTCTCTGATTTGTCATTTCCAGACGTTATCCATTACACCCCACCCTGCATCCCAGATCAATGTATACACTTATTATATTCTGATGTATATTCTTGTTAGGTGGACATATTCTAGCCGATGCCATTTTATATCCAAGGGTATAAACTAGCTTGGCCTAATTTATACCGCGGGTATAAACAGCTTAGCCTAGAGTAACTCCTGGCATACTCTTGTCTGGGTGTATACACTGAGAATTCAACAGAATTAATTATGTATTTCCACTTATAACTCATTAAGGATCTTTGTCAAAAAAGGAGAACAGGAGCTATTAATTTGTTTTAAAATAAGGTTATTCTAGTGACAGAATCACGAGTCAGTGGGTTGATGTACCTAATACAGAGCCTAGAATCTGTTCTAGTGTCTATTACATATGGTCTGAAAATGTCTGATATTAAGCAAAATTTTTAAATTTTCTCCTGGTCTTGTAGTTGTGTGGTCTCGCAGAACTCAAGAAATTCTCTTCATAGCCGAAATTTTGGCATCTGGAACCTAAAATCTATCTATGTAGAGTTTTATAGTTTTATAGCTCAGACCTTAGACTAGTGCCAATTCAAACCATAAAAAGAGATTTAAATGTTCAATTCAGGCTGCATTTGTAATTCGCATACATTGTAAAATCAAAACTCTCTCTCTCGCGCACTCACACACACACACACACACACACACACACACATATATATATATATATATATATATATATATATATATAAAACATTAGGCAGCATATTATTTACATACAAAGAATAATCACACATAGAATTAATCAGAAGTATTAATGCGACATCCATCGCTAGAAAACATAATATATGCATTAAAATCCTGTTCATCCATAGTGCGAGTTTTGATCCTTGACGAAAAAAACTTGTTGTCTGTAGTTTTTTTTCAGTTTATTTGATGTTAAAATGCTAGTACTTACGGACAGTCTTCTATCCATCATCAGGCATGTGTTTTTTATAAGGAAAAAAAACACATGCCTGATGATGGATGGATCAAAACTCGCACTATGGATGAACAGGATTTTAATGCATATATTATGTTTTCTAGCGATGGATGTCGCCAATAATCGCATTAATACTTCTGATTAATTCTATGTGTGATTATTCTTTATATATATATATATATATATATATATATATATATAATCAACACAAAATAAGCCGTCTACTCAATAACTGTCAGGATAATACAATAGACTTTACTGCCCATAATACACCATTGACCAGCAAATATAAATAGTCGAGCGAAAACACAACACACATGGCCTGAAGATTGCGTTTAAGAATGAAAACAGACTGTCACCGTTTGGTGTTGACTCCAGTATCTACTTTTATATTTACATACGCTTTATCTCTGATATTGATCAATTTTACGCATAAATACGGCACACCTCAAAATTATATTTTTTCATATATATATATTAAGAATTAATTAAGTCCAACAATTTATTAAAGACATTTTTTATGTTTAACATTCTTTTTATAGATACAAGTATTTAAGTAAATTCTCTGTTTATAATAAACAGTATTAAATAACATTTACCGACCTGAATGTTTATTATAAACAGAGCATTTACCGTATAGGATGCAGGTTCGAATCCTGTCAAAGGACGAATATTTTCTATGAAAATTTCTCGGACATTCAGGCCGGTAAATGTTATTTAATACTGTTTATTATAAACAGAGCATTTACATAAATACTTGTATCTATAAAAAGAATGTTAAACATAAAAAATGTCTTTAATATATATATTTATATATATATGTATATATTTCGCTTGAGGATGGAACGGAGCCCATTTTACTTTCAACTCAATTTAATTTAAAGGATTATATTGAAGTTTTCGGCTCTAGTTTTGAAACATGAGACCTCTTATGTAGCGATTTGGAATCATATTTTTAAATAAATAATTATATATGTATATATATATATATATATATATATATATATATATATATATATATATATATATATATATATATATATGAAATTAATTGAATTTTGGTCTGAAATGTTTAATCGATGTGAACTTACAGAAAAACGCCCGGTTGTGCATTGACAGGGACAGATATTATGTTGAAAAAATAGATACTTTCCTCACCATTTAGACACGGACTTATTGATGAACCTACACACACATATATATATATATATAGGGGTTGTAGACTCGCATGAAGAAATGAACACGTACGTGACGCTATCCAAAGTCCCTGTCAATGGCCAATTGCTGGGATGGTCAGTCTATAGTCACTTTTTGAAAAGAAATTTGTCCTCGAAAATACATTTGTAAACACAAGTTATTGATGTCATTCACTGAAGAGATCGTTTGTTTCAAACTTTAGTATAAAAAAAACAATCGATTTGAGGGCCGACATTTTGTGATTAGCTCGGCAGTCTGATAGAGGAAAGATGAGGGCGGTGGGGGGATCAATAGGCGCTAGTTGCCTTCATAGGGCGTATCTGGATATTGAGGGATGTCGCTTACCTGGCGTGCAGCTTCCGGATTTTCGGTTATGTCAAAAACAATGGCAGAAGCACCTTTGTCGATAGCTCGTTCCGCCTACAGAGAAAAATGAAAAATATCTTTAAATATAAGACTTTCAATACAGAAAAAATCAGGTACACACACACACACATACATACATATACACACACTCAAACACACACACACACACACACACACATATATATATATATATATATATATATATTATTTCAAATGTTATTATAGCCAGGGCCGGTTCAAGGGTCTTATGGGTCCCAACCAAATCAATGATACGGGGTTCCCACTCTGTTGTATAGCCCCGCTTCACATGCTAGAAGGTCTTGGTTACTGTACCAATACAATTGTTGTGGAGTTATTTCGCAGTGGAGGCTTGTATTTGTACTAAATCGGTCCTAAAATAGGTTCGATGTACAAAACGTTAGGAAATTGATATAATAGGTATTACGCAGAGTAATCTTGTTGTGGTCGCTGACTACTTTCGTATTCGACTAACTGTCGACTACTGTCGTTCGATATCGACGCTATGTAGTAACTGCCTCACGCAGTCACATGTGGCACAAGGCCGAATTTAATGTGGGGTTCCAGAGCCCGTAGGCTCGGCCAAAAAATCCCCGTAGACCCCGCATAAACGGGATCGGGTCTGTCTACCTCCCCGGACGAAACTCTGTCCTTCGGCATAGCCTCGTCCGGGTTCCTCTCTGCCCGAAGGCAGAGAGTTCGACTGTCGTCCGACATCGACTAGTATTTAGTCACCACCCCACAAGGGTATCATGTGGCACAAGGCCGGTTTAACGTGGGATCGGCCAAAAATATACCCTTTGAATTCGTATAAACGGGTTCAGGGTCGGTTTACCTCCCCGAACGAGACTCTGCCCTTCGGTATAGCCTCGTTCGGGTTCCTTCCCGCCCGACGGCAGAGAGTTCAACCGTTCAGCCGGTCGTCCGACATCGACTGGATATTCAGTCACCACCCCCCACTGGGACATCATGTGACACAAGGTCGGTTATTTATTGTGGGTTCTCCAAATATGCCCACTGAACCCGTATAAACGGGCTCAGGGCTGGTTTACCTCCCCGAACGTAGCCTCGTTCGGGTTCCTCCCCGCCCGAAGGCAGAGAGTTCAACCGATCAGCCGGTCAGCCGGTCGCCCGACTTCAGACGGAACTCGATATTCAGTCACCCCCACCCGCATACTGAAGCATCATGTGACACAAGGTCGGTTAATTATTTTGGGTTCTTTGAACCCGTGGGCTCGGCCCAAAAATATGCCCTTTGAACCCGTGATCGCTAGTCGGTTTGGGTTCAGAGATGAAAGAACTTCAACACAGGGAATTCTAACTTAGCTATTTGATTAACATCGACGTATATATTTCTACCTGTCCAGTTAGGTTGCTAAAGAAACACATCTACATTGCTTGACGTTTGGGATTCGATTCTCTGAAATCCTTTTTTCTATCTATCGTTCTCACGCTGGCTCAGCCAGTCAAAATCGAGTTTCTTGCTTTGTCTTCCATTTGACCTCAAAGATCATCCCCAGGAAGTCGGAGCAGCGATACACTTACTCCTAAAACAATAGTCTACTAAATTATTATTTAACAACTCTACTACATCACAATTTTCATAATTGAGTATACATATAAAATAGAAATTTTATTGTAACCTAATTATGCACAGTAATGGATCAAATGCAATATAGGTGAACAATTCAGCTAGAAAATTTAAAAATAAATACAATGTATTGAGATACAAATTAGACATATCATAATAGATCATTCTATCTAAATATATAAAGTTGTAGCCTCTGTCTGTCTGTTATCGAACTCCTCCTAGGGTTTTGGCGATAGACCCCCACCCCCACCCCATAACCATATATATTCTGAAACTACATCATTAACCAGGGTACTTGGATAAGTATATTTCATTTTGATCAAACGGTGTCGCCGAGGTTGGGGGCAGCCTCGAACCAATAATTTTTTTTTTCATTTTGATATAAATTTAATTTAAAATTTGAACAAGTGAATGACTGCTAGGGTACTGCGATAAGTATATTTCATTTTGATCAAAGACGGTCCTCGGGGGTGCCCCCCACCGCTGAATGTTTTTCTCTTTGATTTAAATTAAATTTAAATTTGAACAATGGAATGACTCCTATCCAAAATATGGAAGGAGAAAACCAGAAGATGGAGGTCACTTTGGCAAGATCATTAAGTAATATTGAAATGCAGCAGTTTTCTCCACAAATTATAACAATGATTTAAAATCAATCATTATTTTCTTGCAAAATGTGTGTGTAATACGCAGCAAGGCGCAGTTAATTCGGTTAGTCTTAAACAAAACAACAATGTTTTGCGTCAATTTCTAACGTGAACTTGAGATTTTTCTTGTTAAGATTTTGAATAGTTTTAACACATTCAACATTATGGATGAAAAGTAATGACTTTTATATAGTGTTTATTTTTATTTATTTGTTTTTTTAGACTGAGCGTAAACGAAAACAAATTCATGCATTTGAACTAATAAAAAAAAAAAAAAAAAAAAAAAAGCCTCCAGAATGACGTCAAATTCCGCGAAAATATTTCATGACTTTAATTGCCAGTTGTGCTTAGTTCAATTCGTAACGTATATAATGTAGTTTGAAAAAAAGAAAATGTTGACAAGACAGCCAGGGTCACAAAGCACTGCCCTCAGAACTCAGAAACAGGCTTGCCCTCCCCAGTCGGTGGTAGTACGAAGCGTTCTTGATTATAATGGACACTTCGTATTTCAAATAAACGCCTCATTTTTATTTATTTGTATTACGTCTATCGGCATGCGCATTCGAGAAATCTTCGTAAAGAAAATGTGTTCTTCAACTGGGATAGAACCTGCGCCCGCTTTGAAAGGGAAACTACCGTCCGACATGCTTTACTGCTCGGCCATGAAGCGTTGCCTTTTTTTTTTAAGGAAGGCACATCTGCTTCACTCTGCTTATTTTTCTCGAAAGCCAATTAATTCTTTATATATATATATATATATATATATATGATGAACACAATAATTTTTTTGTCTTAGAAAAAACAAAACCCTGATGATGACATTGTGCTAATGTCGAAAGTACTCAAAATAAAATGAATATGCATCAACATGGTAATTTTCTTTCTTCCTTTAATAAGGATACTAACAAACTTGTCCGTAATTTTGAGAGGATCATTTTAAAAATAAGTAAAGCTTGTTTAAATTATTTAATGAGACACTTTATATATATATATATATATATATATATATATATATATATATATATATATATATACAAATGTAATGAGAACGAAAAGAATATAAATTCAACGTTCATAACATTCAATTAAAAGAGGGCTCAATGCAAAAAGTAGAGCAATAGTTATTCATTATAAGTTATTACATACGAAAAAATTCGTATGTAATTATAATATATATATATATATATATATATATATATATATATATATATATATATATATATATAAGCATTCAACCCCAAGCAAGTCGGGGGAGCCACTAGCACGCAAGGAGTTACGGAGAAGGAGGAGTTACGGAGGAGCGAGAACAAAGAGGAGTGATAGAGGAAAGGATGAAGAGAAGGTTAGGGGATAGATCAGGGCATCTGGAGACGTCGATTGACGTTCATTTGAATAGTTAGAAATTATAGCTATCAGGAAAACAAGAAATAGGAAGGGAGTTCCACAGGCGAGAAGTGCGAGGCATGAAGCTATTGGAGTAGAATAGTCGGCTACATTTCGACAGTGTAAGTGTGAGAGCGAGATGCCAGCCTAGTTGAACGTTTAAATTCATGAAGTCTGCGAACCAGCGAAAGCAGCTCATCAGAGCAGTTACCGTGAAAGTATTTAAAAAAAAAAGACAGAGGGAGGCAACGGCACGTCTGTGAGAGAGCGGCTGCAGACGAGATGCCAGATCAGGGCCTATTACAGTGCATATCCGTCTTTGGATTTTATCAATGACCTTGAGACAAACAGAAGGGGCTCCAGGCCATATATGGCAGCAATACTACATGCAAGGGCGAATGGTTGATTTGTAAATTTGAAGGATTGACTCCGGCGAGAAAAATTTCCTGGCGCGGCACAGGGAGTCGACTTTCCTTGCGGTGGACGAAGCAATTGACTCAATGTATTCGTTCCATCTCAGGTCAGCGGACAATGCGAGTCCGAGCAGTCGCAAAGAGGTGCTCTTGTGGAGTTGAGCGTCAGACATTCTAATGGGAGGCAGGGATGGTCCTCTCTGGTGAGTAATAGAGAGCAGTTTTGTTTTTGAGGCATTAAAGTTAACCAACCAATTCCTGCCCCAGTCCACAACCGATTGGAGGTTCTTTCAAGACAAACGGCCAGGTTAGTTTTGTCGGCGACACGAGATTTGTTTTTGAGGCAGGTGTAGATAGTAGTGTCGTCCGCATAGATGCCTACTTGGGAACCTATGACATCAGTAAGATCGTTAATGAAGATAAGGAACAGAGTAGGGCCTTGGTGAACACCTGCGTTCGTGGGATAAGAGCTGGAGGATAATCCGTTGAGAACGACCTTCAGTACACGGTTTGACAGGAATGATTGTATTAAGTCGAACAATCTACCTGTAATTCCATAACCCAGAAGCTTGCGAAGAAGGCCGGCATGCCAAACCCTATCAAACGCTTTGGAGATTTCAAGAGCCACAGCACAAGCTTCTCCATTATTATGAAGTGCTTGGTAAACAATTTCATTTATAGCCGTAAGCACATCATCTGTAGAACGGGCAAAGCGGAAACCATATATCTTGTCGAAGAGCAGATTATGGGATGTAAGATGCATAACCACTTCGGCGCTTATTAAAGTTTCAAAGACTTTGCCGAAGAGTGGTAGGAGACTGACAGGACGGTAATTAGAAGGGTCAGAAGGGTCTCCAGAGTTCTTCAAGACAGGAACAATGGATGAGGACTTCCAACAGTCTGGAGAACAAGATTCATTGAGGCAGTAGTTATATAATTTGGAGAGGGCAGGGGCCAATTCAGGCGCACATTTCTTCAGGACAATGGCTGGTATCCTGTCTCCACTACTAGCTTTGTGGGGGGGGGTCTAATTTAGAGATGATGCCCAGAACCGACGACGGGGTTATGTGCAAGTCGCTCAATTGAGCCTCAGTTCGAAGGGGGGAATCGGATGTGGGTACACTGGAAGAGTTGAGTGTTGAATTGAACGAGAATTTCCGAGCAAAACATCCAGCCTTGTCGGCAGAAGAGGTCAGAACCTCGAACAAAGGAGGTATAGAGGGTTTGCTATTGTTAAGTATTCTCTTGCAGAGACACCAATAAACCTTGGAGCCTAATTTGCGAGATGCAATACTTGCTTTCATTAGATCTGTAAATAGTGACTTTGCTTCATTAAGGACGCGCTTACACTCATTACGAGCAGAGACAAAGCGACGTCTATTGCAGTCAGACATGTCGCTTCGTTATAGGTGGAAGAAGTGATACTTATGGGTAATGGCAGCTGAGCAAGCAGCGGAGAACCAAGGGGAGCTGCGCAATTTGACCTTATATTTCCTTGAGGGGATGAAAGCCTCGATTCCAGCTTTAACCCAGGAGTAGACCTCAGAAGCACATTCTTGAACGGGGAGCGTGAAGACAACGTCCCAGGGGACATCGCGAAGGAACGTGTCCCAGTCTGCTCGTTGATAGCAGAACGATGTTCGAGTGGTAGGGGGTTCTTTGCAGGGGGTGGAGTTGAAGGAGATGTTGACAGACACTACAGCATGATCGGAGTTGCCAACAGGGCAGAGCTGCGTGGCGCTAAAGGACTCGGGGATGGAGGTAAATATATATATATATATATATATATATATATATATATGTATACAATTATTATTATTATTCATATGTATATATTGTTATTATATATATATTTTAAGACATTTTTATGTTTATACATTCTTTTTATAGATACATATATTTAAGTAAACGCTCTGTTTATAATAAACAGTATTAAACAACATTTACTGGCCTGAATGTCCGAGAAATTTTCATAGAAAATATTCGTCCTCCGGTAAATGTTGTTTATTACTGTTTATTATAAACAAAAGAATGTATAAACATAAAAAATGTCCTAAAATAATTGTCGGACTTTGTCCAGTTCATAATATATATATATATATATATATATATATATATATATATATATTTGAACAAAACTCTTGAGAATTCCCACTTGACTCCCAACCGAATATCAGAAACGTATATTCTATATGAATCCTCAGGTCTTTCTAAAGCAGTGACCTGTCTTTATGAAGACTACAAACTAAACTCTTTTATTTTATTCCAATATCTATAAACAGTTCATAGATTTGCTCCAAATACCACTCGGATACAGCCAGTCTATATTGATTCTTGTTTTCTTTGTAATGAATTCCATAGAAGTTTTTGGACCGTTTCAATCGGATAAACGATTCTCTTGTGTAAAAGACAACCACTGGTTTAAAAATGTGACAATTTTTTTCTATGTGACGCGTTTCGTCCTTTGTTCTTATTAATTGTTATGGGACCTTATCCATAATAATAATAATAATGGACAATTCCATACGTAATAAATACTGCGCCTCAAGAGGAAGCAGAGAATTCCGTCTGAAGTCAGGCGACCGACTGGCTGATCGGTTGAGCCCCTCTGCCTTCGGGAGGAACCCGAACGAGGCTACGCCGAAAGGCGGAGTCTCTTTCGGGGATGTAAACCGACCCTGAACCCGTTTATACGGGTTCAAAGGGCATATTTTTGGCCGAGCCTACCGACTCGGGGATCCCACGTTAAACCGGCCTTGTGCCACATGATGCCCTCGTAGGGGGGGGGGGCTAAATACCGTTCAGTCTGAAGTCTGGAGTAAGGTCCGTCAGGAGTCTGTCAGTCAGTCAGAGCGAGTCAGTCAGTCGAGTCAGAGGCAGTTCGAAACAGAGTCGCGTTCAGACAATTACTACAATTACTACTAAACCTGATTGTTCGTACTAACACCTTCTACTTCTCTGTATATATTCCTGTTTGTGTTATTCCATATACGTGTTCGAGTTCTTCTTTATTGGTTCTACCTTTGACTATCACCGTGGTACAAGGAACCGGACCATAACATTAATGGAATTAAATATATGTAGGAGAGGAGATATAAACGTAAACTTCAGTAATAATTATGTATCGATGACTCTATAGTTCATGGCATGAGTACTTTTGATTTAAAGCGTAGGTCTAGTCATACGCTTTTGCAAGCTATCATACGTTCCTGTTATAGTTTTGAGGCAACCTCATGAATCTTGGTTCGTTAAGTTAAGACATCGTGAAACAAAATGTAACTTACTTTCTCGTACATGGACATCATACAACCAGCCATCTGTGGACCTTCGAGTTTCATAACTCCTACCCAGCGTTCAGGATAGCCCATATAGTCATCATTGTTGCACAGTGCCACGGGATGAACCTGCAAAAAATAATAATAAATAAATAAAAGTTAACACAAATTTGCATTATTTCAAAAATCAAAATGAAAAATAAAGTTGTTAAACAAAGTTGCCTAGTAAGTACAATCTTTTACACAATTGTTATGGGATCTTACCCATAATGATAATAATGGACTATTCCACACTTAATAAATACCGCGCCTCAGGAGTAGGCAAGGAGTGAGACAGTCGTTCGCTTTTGAACCGACTGCTCGGTTGAACACTCTGCCTTCGGGCGGGAGGAACCCGAAGGAGGCTACGCCGAAGGGCGGATACTCTTTCGGGGAGGTAAACCGACCCTGAACCCGTTTATACGGGTTCAATGGGCATATTCTTGGCCGAGCCCACGGGCTCGGAGATCCCACGTTAAGAAGGCCTTGTGACACATGACACCCTCGTGGGGGAGTGGTGACTGAATATTGTGAGTCACTCGTTCAAGTGGAGTCAGTAGTTCAAGTCGAGTCAAGAGTCGAGTCAGAGACAGTCCGAAACAGAGTCGCGTTCAGACAATTACTGCAAGACATTGGAATAGTGATACTGGTCAAGACTACATTGTTCTCTCTATTAAACCTGATTGTTCATACTAACACTTCTACTTCTCTGTATATATTCCTGTTTGTAATATATCTGTGTTATTCCATATACGTGTTCGAGTTCTTTATTGGTTCTACCTTGGACTATCACCGTGGTACAAGGAACCAGACCATAACAAAAATGTTAGGGAAATAATAAAAGTGCCTTCGTTTATTTATTTATTTTTGTATTGCTTCACGGTCGGGAATAGTACGTTATTTACAGTTCATAGGAAAACATTTTGGAAATCGACAAAAATTTTTTTATACAAATGTAATCATATCTAGAATGATTTAAAACAGTAATGAAAGAAAGAACAACCAAACTCAGGTGGGACAAAGTCTAATCTGCGACAAAGACTAATCTAGTATATGTCAGGGTGAGCGCAGTATATATTGGGGTCACCACAGATCAATTCCTCTTAGAATAAACGTACATTTATTGGCATTAAATTCGATTCAGACTCTCTAGTATTTCCTGACAAGAATCACTTATTACTCTAAATTTTATTTATCGATTTGATATCATACTTATTATAAAACCCAGGTTGTGTGTGTATGTGTGTGTCTGTTCGTTTATATATTGGATCGGATTTCCTACATTTTTCAACCGATTTCAACAAAACTTCACACGACTACGTAAAATTACCTTGCAGTGGTTCTGACAGCACCAAAAATTGGAAAAACACTATTGCTTTTACACGAAATCAATTTGAAAACACGATTAAGAGGCATTGCTGTCGCGAGAATGAAAGGGAGACAACTCATATCGAGTTATACTTATAAAACCCAGGTTGTGTGTGTGTGTGTGTGTGTGTGTGTGTGTGTGTGTGTGTGTGTGTGTGTGTGTGTGTTCGTTTATATATGGGATCGGATTTCCTACATTTTTCAACCGATTTCAACAAAACTTCACTTTTTTTTTTTTGGCAGGTAGTGTTTCTTATTGTCTTGCACCCTTTTTTCTTTATTTTTACATTCAGAATGCTTTAAAAATTCCATTTACAAGACAATTGTTTATAATAAAATTCTATTCAATCGGTAGACTCATAACGATTGAAAACAATGTTTTCGTTTGGGTTTGACCAATTCGTAAAAAAAAAAAAAACTAATTAAGATATGCGTGTCCGTCAACCTTAAACAATAATTTTTGTCAATTTTATTTTTCAGTCTTTATGATGGTCGATACTTGATCTATCTCTTACTGTTACATCCCCGGGCAATGCCGGGCTCTACTGCTTGTTAATAATAGAATCACTTTTATCGATGTTTTAGTAGACTCTTCAAGTCATAATGTTATTATACTTCACCTGTATATAGAAAACGTACAAGCAAAAATTCTTGTCTTCCTAATTATCTAAGTCAGACTTCTCACAGATCTCTAAGAACGGTTATAAAGAACGTGATCAACGGAGTTTAACCAATTACTTTTTTCACATACATTATTTTAAAAAAAGAATTGAGAAGCATAAATGGAACATTTATCAGCAATAATCTCCTTAACCACGTCATCGACGTGTAAATAAAATTAACTTCAAAGAAAAAAGTTTAGAAAAATAACACCAATTAATATCCTGATATAAACATAATCAATCATTGTAACCAGTCGCACCCAAACTATAAAAATAAGATGAAAAAGTCATTAAAAATATAATTTACCAGTACGTAATAATTGTTATAAATTAAGTACCTTTTTACTATTTAAAATATTCATCGTTTAAAAAATTTAACTTAATTTCTAATAATACGGGGTTTTAAAAATCACCCTTGTATATAAAAAACATGTTGTCGAATTCCTGTATCGTTAAGGAGACTGCATCAAATTCTACCATTGGTCACTCACCCACCACACTATCTCGTGGATAAATTGCCACTTATCGAAACTTAGTAAAATTAATTCGCATATCATCATGTCACAAACAAGAAAAATACGACCATTAATATATTAAAAAAAAATATCTCCTCATGACATCAAATGCTAGGCGGAAGCTAAAACATTATCTGGGTAAAGAAATATTTTCTTTTAAACCATTCAACGCTCTGTTACCTGTATACGATGTACATATATTTACATTTGAAATACGAGTATGACGCGTATAAAGACTTTTCTCCGTGGCACTGACAAAATTAACGTTCCTGATAATTACAAGAGGGATCGAAAGTACACGAATATTATGAAACTCGGACAGTTACTTCACAAATTCAATCCAGATCTGCGACAACTTGTACACAAACTGGAAGAAATCTAATATAAAAGGAATCTGACAAATGATATCGGTCGAATTTATTAAAACTTATATATATATATATATATATGAGATAACGATATACATTTATATATTTTTATATATCAAGAACAGTATTGGGGTTATTTTATGACAAAGTGGAAAAAGTTTCCTTGTGACGCGTTTCGTCCTTCAGGACTTCATCGGACTAAATTTGTTATGTTGGTAGGACTGCACATGCGCAGGCAGAAGGGTTCTATAAATTTATATAAAACTATAATTGTATATATATATATATATATATATATATATATATATGATAGAAATATAGTGAGCGTATGTAAATATAAAAGTGGACAGTGAGGTCAACACTGAGTGGCGACAGTCTGTTTCACCCTTGAACCTAATCTTCAGGTCATCTTACGGCATGAAACAAACTGTCTCCATTCGGTGTTGACCCCAGTGTCGACTTTTTAAATGTTTTATTAAATTCGACTAAGCGGCTGCGTCTGTTACTTTCTAAAAGAGAGGGGGAAAAAAAAGGAGGAAAAAGAATACAGAGAAATTATAAGGTGACAAGAAGATGATGAAAAGAAGAAATAACCACATCACTCGATATACATATGCACACGTGTACGCATACACAAAGAGAAATACATACACACACAAAGAGAAAAAAAAAGCAATCTCAAGCAATAACGATATTCAGTCACCCCCCCACGAGGGTGTCATGTGGCACAAGGCCTTTTTATCGTGGGCATTTCCGAGCCATTAGGCTCGGCCAAAAAATAGCCCATTTGAACCCGTATAAACGGGTTCAGGGCCGGTTTTACCTCCCCGAAGGAGACTCCGCCCTTCGGCGTAGCCTCCTTCGGGTTCCTCCCCGCACGAAGACAGAGAGGTCAACCGTTCAACCGGTCGTCCGACATCTCAAGCAATAACTAACGCATAAATTAATTTTTAGCTTAATACAGTGTAACCCGGATATAAGAGAGACCCGGATATAAGAGAGATTTTCTCTGGTCCCAAATTAGAGCCTGTATTAACCTAAACAAATGTAGACCAAACTCGGATATAAGAGAAACCCGGATATAAGAGACTTCTTCTCCGGTCCCGACATCTCTCTTATATCCGGGTTACACTGTATAAAAATAACGAAGATAAAAAAAATCTACAGTCAATGGCTGAAAAATCTTGAATGAACAGAATGATTACTAAACCGTAAGTTTTCGAAACTTACTGTTAAAAAAGTATGGGTATCTATTCTAACATCTCTCAATTTGACGTGTATAGTAATAAATACAGTGTAACCCGGATATAACAGACTTCTTCTCCGGTCCCGACAACTCTCTTACATCCGGGTTACACTGTATCATGTTTACAGTAATACGGAATAATGTCTTCAAGAATCTTTACTTAGTGTAACTTTACTGCTTTAACAGTTCTATAATTTTCAAAAGTTAAATTGTGATAGAGAGACGTGCAGTTTCACATCTGACTGGAGTTGGAGAATTCTTTCTGTTTTATGCAGAAAACAAGGTGGCTCAGATTTTTGTCTGTTCCGGCTGATTGGTTGATTATGATCACGTGATTAGGTGTAGTCATTTTGCGTTAAAAATTGATGATCATAAGATTTTGTCGTCAACATTGGGAGTGTCATAGTTCAGTGAGCATGCCTAATGACAGCAAAGTGTTATTTCATGTGTCAGGTATTCAGTTTTATTGGACCTTAGTGGCAATCCCAAAAAGTTAAATGTGTAAGGACCGTATGTATATATGTATGTATGAATGTGTGGGTGTGAGTAGAAATAGTTTTAGTGTTTCCTACTTTATCGGAATGTGGAGGATAATGTTACTTCAAGAAAAACTATAATAGCAATGATGATGGTGATAGAGAAATAAATAAGAATTGTACATGAGTGTCTATGTGCATATAAATGTTTTTTATATAAAGTCACTCAAAATAAATATTCTTAAAAGATCCAGTTGCATTTTCCACTTCTTTTTCATAAATATATATATATATATAAATAAATATATACAGTCATCCACAGAGAGACTGTGTCTCTATATCACGGCTCATCATTGTGGCGAGACGACCGATTGCTTCAAGCCGGGAGC